GACCTGCAGCCTCCCTGAGAGCATCAGAGGAAGCGGGTGGGACGTGCTCTTTGCCAGAGCTCCCACCCTTCCTTCCAGGTGGCAGCTGAGCAGAGCCAGACACCAGACTAGACGGCCTTGCGAGACTTAGTGGCTGTGGGATCGGGGAAATAGCTTAGTCTTTTTCTGTCTCAATTTCCTCGGCTATAAAACTGAGATGATGAGAGTACCTAGCTCCTAGGACTGTGGGAGGGCTGCAGGAGTCCTGAGGTGTCCTCGGAGCAGCGCACACACACACTAGCTCAGCATCACTGCTAACTCACGTTTTTACTCGCTGAGTGTTTCCAGAGCTCCGACCGCTTGTCCAGCAGCATGCACGGGGCAGAGAAGTGGGAGTGCTGGCTCATGTCTCTAAGCTTAACTTAAAGATTACGAGACTATTAAAACCTAGTCGTCATAAACCAGTTAGCATTATGTGGCCCCCCTGTGGGCCGATTTTATTTCCTTTTCTCAGAGCCCTGCTGGGAGGTGTAATCTCTGCGGATGCAGTGGGAACAGTGACTTGCTTGAGGTGGCCGGCGAGGGTGAGTGAGCGGCAGAAGCTGGCCTGTGTGGGCCGAAGCCTGTGCCAACTCAGCACACCTCCCGTGGTGAAGTCTGTGGCTCTGGTGGCCCCGGGGGACAGCTCAGACATGGGTGTAGATCCTCCATTATTTACGGAGAGCTGGCCCCTCTGAGGGAAGGGACCTTCACAGCTGGGTGGTGGGGGCTGGGGCTTTGCGGTTTTGGTTTGACTTGTGGGGCACGCTCCTCAGGTCTGGAGTACTGCGAGGTTGGGATGAAGACGTACCCCTACAGCCATCTCGGTGAGTATGGTGTTGGCTGTGACTGCTGATTTATGGTGGGGAGGGCCTCAGAGGACCTCAGAGCCCTCCAGGACGGGACCTGCCCACCCCTCCCGCCTCCAGCACATGACTCTCCCTCACCCCTGTGCCCAGCCAGAACACCACCTTTATGTTCCTCATGCACTTAAGGACCATTTTGGATTTGTGCTTAAAGATCACCTCTTCCCTGTCTATCTGTTAACTTTTCCCACACCGCCCTGTTTGAATTCTCTGACTTGCGCTTGGTACCACTGGTATTTATCTTATTTGTTTCTTCACAGATTGTCGATCTCTCCCCGCTGGACTCTCACCCCACGAGAACAGGGGCCCTGTCGGTCTGTCCTCTGTGGCCCCGATGCCCAGTGCAGGGCCTGGCTAGTGGTGGGTGCCTGGTGAGTCCTTGGGGCAGGGGTGAAGGCAGGACAGGTGCCCCGTCCCGTGTCTCTGTCAGCTGCAGAGGGTTATCTTGCAGTCTTATGCAGACAGCCAGCAAACAAAGCAGATCAGAGTGGAGCAGCTATGGTGGGCTTGAAGGGAAGTGGGGGGCCCAGGGGCCCCTTCTCTCCCCCGTTTGCCCTACAGGAAGCTCCTGAGGCTCCGTGTACAACCCCCATTGCTCAGTTTAAGAACTACTGATCTGGTCCAACTTCCTCATTTTCTGAAGGATAAACAAAGGCACGGAGAGGTGAGCTGGTGTGCCCAAGTTCACAGAGTGAGAGGCAGGCCTGGAGGAAAGCTGGGTCCCCTGACCTTGGCCTCAGGCTCTTTCTACTGCTCTCCATCACAAACCCAGATGGATGCTGCCCACATTGGTCTTCTCCCAGCTGTCTGGTCTGGGGCCACCTTTGGGTCAGCTGTACCCACACCTGCCTGGTCTCCCGTTCTCAGACAGAAGCCCAAGGTAAGCCCCAGCCCCAGCCTTCTCCCTGGAATTTGCTCCAAATGGCATCAGACACATGCCAGAGGGAAGGCAGGGCTCAGGTGCATTCACTGTCCTGGGGCCGCATGGGAGCACTGGGCCCTCAACAGGAGACCTGGCTGCTCCTGCTGTGGACATCTGCCCATGTTAGGAGGCCTGTGCACCTGTGCCCGCTGGAGCCCGCCGGCTCCATCCAGTGTGATGGAGCCTGACAACACGTCCTGCTGTGCATGTGCTTATGAAGTTCCGCATGCAACCCCTCTTTGTATAATTGGAAACTGAGACCCAGAAAGAGGCAGGGACTGGCTGAGGGCATAGTATGTGGGCAGAGTCAAGAAGAAAAGTGAGAATGCTAGCCTCCTAGGCCAGGGCCCAACCCCTGCAATCATGTTTACTTTGGAAATGAGAGCCCTTAAGATCCTGGCGAACCCTCCCTTCACCCTTCCAATCTGGGCCATTTTCCTTCCTACATCCCCACAAGCACATAGGAATGCACAAACAGGGCCAACTTCACAGTTGGGGATCACAGGAGGGTGGTTAAGGAGAGCAGATGCCCTGTAAGTGACAAGAGAAAGAGGAGAAAGGGGCTGGAGACAGCTCTGCAATGCAGTAGGGGCATCCATTCTCCTGGAAGATGTCCAGAGGTCCATAACATGAGGTCGACCCTCAATTTCCCAGTCTTGCTAGGGCAGGGCCATCTCCATTGTAGCCTCCAGAGGACAGGGCCTGGGGGCCTGCAGTCCACCCACTGGGCTCCTGGAACTGGGCTAAGCACACCCCATCCCCCAGTACAGAAGTACAGGAAAGAAGGCCTCAGTTTCCTTCTCCACAAATTGGACGCTTGCAGTGGCTGACCCCAAGGGCTCTGCACGCTTGGAAAGTCTGTAGACCTTGGCTCTCTACCAATGACCCACTGTGCTCCAAGGACATGTGAAGATGCTTTCCACTCCATGAAGGTCCTTGAGGGCAGAGAGGAGCTTGGGGAATGAGGCCTTGGGGTGGGGCAGAAGGAGGCAGAGCCAGGGGCTGAGAGTCGGGGGTCCAGGAAGAAGGCTACTCACAGTTGGCTCCTCTGGGTCCTCATCTGGAAGTAGGGGGAGTCATTGCCCCAGCTGAGGTTGAAACTGAGGATGAAGGGGTTAAAATGTCCCTGGACTAGGGTGAAACCATGCCTGTACCCACAAAGTTAACGTAAGAAACAAAATTACCAGGGTTTCTGAACTTGCCTTCAGAACAGCAGGAGGACCACTTAGAAGAGAGGAACTTGCTGACAGCCCCCGCCTGATCAAGCATCTCACAGGAGCATGGGGAAGCCACAATGAAGCTTTAGCCACATGCCCCGCCTCCCCCAGCTAAAACTCCAAGTAAAAAGCCTTGCTTGTAGCTTTTTGAGGAGTTTGGGATTACAGCGTTAGCTGCCCATTCTCCTTGCTCAGCATTTCGCAAGTAATTCCTACTTTCTTCTACTACACCCAGTGTCAGAGATTGACTTGCTTTGCGACAGGTGAGTGAACCCACTTCAGGATGGCTTTTGAGCAAACTAGACACCCCAGAGGCAAAGGTGGGGGCAAGAGTATCTTCTGAGGTCTCTTCCAGGGCCTGAAACCCTGAAGGTTCTGCTCTTTTACCCCTGGGGCTCTGGAGACCTTCTGCCTTGAGGACAAGGTTCCTGCCTGGGACTGCAGTGCTGGTGCTGACCACCAGGGGGCAGGCAGCGTCCTGGTTCAGTGGTGCCCACTGAGCTTTGTTGGAGCAACTGGAGCAGGAAGTCATGCAGAAGTCATTGTGGCCATGCCCCTGCCTCAGAAACAACGTGCACCTCCTATGGTTAGTGATCACCTCTACAGAATGAGCTGGTCAGAGGCAGGAAGAAGAGTGCCAGGATCTCCCCATTTATTTATTCAGAGATTGTGCTCTGAGAGCTCACCCTGTGCCAGGTGCCTTGGAGGGTCCAAGTCCAGAGCTGAAAATGGCCAAGTGGTCTCTGTCTTCCAGGAGCTTTCAGTCTGGAGGAGTGAAGGACAAAAGCACAGAAGGAAGACATGTGGAAGAAAGAGTAAGTGCTAACCCCAAATAAAGCAGGGCATTGTGAGGGAGGGCCCGGCAGTCACTGGGTGGGAGGGTCTGAAAGGCCTCACTGGGTGACATCTGCTGGGACCGGGATGACAAGATGGAGTCAGCCCTGCATGAGTCTGAGAGCTGTGTGTCAGGGAGGAGGGACCATGGGTGCAGAGACTCACAGGCAGAAGTGAGTTTGACCGAAGGAGGTTAGAAAGGTAGCTAGAGGGAGCCTGGGAGGAGAGAGGAGCAGAGGGAGGAGGGCAGGGCCAGATCTTGGGACCTGGTAGATTGTTAGTTACCCCTTTTTCTCTGAAAACATTGCCCCAATTTCTTGTATCTTAAAATTACAAATATTTAATGTAAATTTTGTGGTGAGGAATCCAGGCATGGATTAGCTTGGTTCTTCTGCTCAAGATGTCTCAAGGCTGAGGCTGCGGCCTCAACTGAGGCTTGACTGGTAGATTTGCTCCCAAGTTCACTCACTGGATTCAGGATGCTGACTGGGCTCAGACCGCGAGTTCCTTTCCATCTGTTGGCCTGGCCACTGCCTAGGTTCTCTCCTGTGTGGGCCCCTATGTAGGGCAGCACAAAACGTCTGTGCTTGGTTCCTCAGCTCAGGGACACTACAGTGAGAGACAGAGACAGAGAGACACACAGGGGGAGAGAGAGAGGTGGAACACAAGAGAGGGAGTAAGAAGGAAGTGAGAGACTGTGTTTAAAACTTAGACCTGGCATCCCATCCCATTGGCTGTATTCTACTGGTCAGAAGCCAGTCACGAACCACTCAGTGGTTGCACAGGAATGTGGAAGGGAAGTGTATACCATAGGTGGGGTCACTGGGTACCACTGTGGAGGCTGCCCACCTCATAGGCTGAGGTGAGGCACTTGGGTCTCACTCTAAATATAACAGGAAACAATTGAAAGGTTTTAATCCAGAGGATGACAGTGTCTGAATTTTGTTCATTAACCCCCTCATGGTTCTGACACTCAAATGAGGCCAAGTTAGAAGTGGCTGTTCCAATATCACATTGCTGGAGCCCAGGCCTGTTTTGAGTGGTGTTCCACGCTACATCCTATCTCCTCTTGTAATTCTCCCATCTCTAAGTTTGTGCCTTAGATACACATGACGGCAACCCACAGGTGTTATAGATCTTATCTCCCATACACCTGGTGACTAGGAAGTAGATTCTAGTCTGATCCCCATTGTGCAGGTTGGGAGACTGGGGAGGCCCTGAGAGGCACAGAGTTTTCCAGGACAGAGAACTGGTAAGGAGGTGTGAACTCAGCTCTGTCTCCTCGAAGCTAGGACCCTAGTTCCATTTCCAGGGAGCTGTGGCTAGGGCTGTGCTGGCTCATTGTGTAGTTAAGAAGAGGACATGGGGAGGAGGGTGAGCAGTAACAGCTTGTGGTGGGGAGGAGGTGGCTTTGGGTAAGTATGTTTGAAGGAAGGGGACCAGGTAACAGAATCTTCAAAAATTGACGTCACTTCCTGGTGATAGGCCCCAACAGAACTTAGAACTCTGGTCACCAGGTACCCAGAGCCCCCTATCCAACTCATTTGGCCAGAGACATTCCAGAGAACAAGGTATTCTGCTGTTGTGTCCAGACTTTCAGAGGCTCTGGGCTGAAGAAAGCCCAGAGTGAGAGGTTTTTCTATTGCTGTAGATGTGGGCTCAGCCCTCATCCCTGATGCCACTGGCCATTTGGCAGGAGGTACCCAAAGGTAACACAGGGCAGCCTGGGGCAGCCCAGGGCAGGGTGGGCCACAGCTGTGACCCTACCTGAGCAGCCCACACCCCATTCCCTTCGTGTGTATGTGTGTGTGTTGGGGGAGAAGGCAGGGGATGAGGGGCATGGTCTTCTTGGGCAGGTTGTTAGGTGTCAGAAGCCTGGTGGGCCTGTCATGTTCATACCCCAGGTCACGGCTGGCAGCATGAGAAGGTGAGCTCCTCTGCTCACATGTTGCCTGAGTCCTAGAGGTTTCATCTCCTTCCCTCCCTGACTAGAGTTCTTTGCAGATGCCCCTCTGTGCCTGAATTGAGGAACAGAATTTCTCATGGGAGTGTCCCACAGTGACAATATCCAGGCAGGCCCCTGATGCCTCCTGGCCTGGCTCCTGGGCTCTGTCTTTGCAGAACTCCACTCAGGAGATCATCGAGAAGCTGGCCAATGGGTTCAATTACTCCAACTCCCTGGACAAGTGGCAGGTGCCCCAGGCCACCAACCTCATCCAGTGATTGTCTGAGGTGAGAACGGGTGCAGAGTGGTCTCCACACCCAAGAACCTGAGATGATCATGTTGGGCCCAGAACTCAGAGTCAAATCTAGGGGCTCCCCTGGGGCCCTCCCAGGCTTTTCCACATGAGTGTCCCACAGGCATGCTCCCAAAGGAATCTGGACCTCCACATGTAACCCACCCACTATGTGGCAGGGTAGAAATACACTCTTCACATATTTGTTGGAATAATAGAGAAAATATTCAACGTTGTTTTCCCTTTTCAGGAGGCCATGAGTACGTTAGCCTTTGGCTACTGTTTTACTGTTCTGATGACCCGCCCCAGGTATCCTGTGGAGCAGTCAGCTCCACTCTCTTTGAAGACCTTCTCCCAGGCTTACGAACCATTGAACTTGATAGGGTGGTTTATGCACAGAGTGGGGGCGGGATTGATTCTATACAGTTCTCTGCAACTTGTCATCTTACAGTAAACATCAAATCTTTGCTGGCCTGTCATGTCAGGAGCTGTGGCCTCATGTGACTTCATAATATCCCATAAAGGAAGTCAATTGCCACCACCATTCAGCCTTTCAATTGTTGTTAGACCTTGGCATGATTCAATTCTGTTGCCATTTCAGCAATGCTACAGGGAACATCTTAAGCGTGTCCTAATAGATTGTATTAGTTTGCCAGGTCTGCCATAACATAGGGCCACTTCCACTGTGGAAGGCTCCTGATGCCTTCTGGCTCAGTGACAAGCCCTGTCTTTATAGAGCTCCACCCAGGATGTCCTGGAGGAGCTGGTCGATGGGTTCAACTATTCCATCTTCCCGGACAACGGGCAGGTGCATCAGGTGACCTAAAACAGGCAACACTGGTCTGGGGTAAGTGTGGGCACATAGGGGTCTCCACATTCAGGACCCCAAGATGACTGGGGTGGACCCAGAACCCAGACTGGAATCTGGTGACTCCCCTGGGGTCCTCCCAGGAATATGGTTTTCCCAGAGCCTTCCCCTTCGTGTCAGGAACAGGCCAAGGTAATTGAGAGGGAATGTCATGAAGCCAATGCTACGTGCTATTCTCAGATCTGACCTGTGTGATCTTCAGCAGCCACTTGAAATCCTTAACCATCTGTTTCCCAATATCTACAGTGGGGAAGTTTGTTGATGACTCATTGGGATAATGCTCTTAACACAGGCTGTTAATACAGGGAGGTGCCATTGTTTCTCAGCTGACAAAATGCCTTGAAGTTATATCATTCACTCCAAAATCAAATGATACCTTTAAAGCCTAGAATCTTTATCTGTGTGGGCATTCATATCCCTCCTCTTGCCCAAGTTCCTGGGGTGGTGGGAGTTTCCAGTCTGAGCTCCAGACACTAATCCTCCTCATGGCTCATGGTGATGCCACTGACTCCATATCCCACCTTGTCCCCTTGATGTGAAAAGGAGTCGGTCATGTCCCAAGGTGAGGCCTGCATGATGCTGACCCCCAAGGCAGGCACAATGGAGAAGGTGGCAGAGTCTCTGGTACCAGCCTTCCTGGATAGAAACATCTCCTACATCACCACCTTCCCACGTGTGTATCTGGCCTTCGCCACCACCCAACAGGTCCTGGACAAGCTGTTCCATAGGTGAGTGATGCCCCCTCCACAGTGCAGTGGTGAGCCTCCAACTACTAGCTGTGTGTCTGGGGAGTGTCAATGTACCTCTCTCAGCTTCACTTTGCTCTTCTGAAAAGTAGGGTGAGAAGATGAACCCATAATGTTATTGTAGGGAATCATAGGATCAGCCATGGCAGGCGCTTACCTGGTGTCTGGCTCTGCAGAAAGGGCTGTGGGATGTGCTGTGGTTGTTCATGGTACTTCCTCATAAAAAGTAGCCTGCCTCACCCATTACTGGGATGTGGCCTTTCTGAGTTTGGAAAAGCACCTGGAGAGCACCCTGTCAAACAGTTTGAGATGCCATCCAGCTGGTCCTGGTCCTTGTCCTTGGTGTAGCCAATTAGGGATCTCTGGGGCGGCAGAGGGGCCCCAGAGCCACTCAGATATCTAGGATGGTTCTGATTGGGGTTCGTTCATTCGAACATGTATATTAAACACCTACAACATACAGGACTTCTGGAGTCACTTAGCATAACTCAGTGAATGAAGCAGACAGCATCCCTGAGTCTCAACTCTGGTCTGAGAGTCAGACAGTCACACTCGACGTCATCCACAGGTCCTATCCACCATACATCCCATGCGATGTCCTCATAGCCTCTTTGACATCTGCAGGCATCTTCCTATCTTCTGACCAGGATGACAGACCACAGGACCACCTAAAAAAGTGGGTGATGTTTGGGTCCAGAAGGAGGGCTTCCTGTCTCTACAGAACAGTGTGGAGGGAGAGTATGGGGGCTGTGATTGTGGCGGGCCTGGCAGAACACTGCTTGTCACTCATCTTTTGATTCCCATGGGAGGGATGAGGTCTGGTGGCTTCCACTCCAGGAGTACAGGAGCCAGAGTGAGCTGTGGATGGGTCCCAGGACCCCTGGGAACCAGAAGGGAGGCTGGGCTGAGTTATCCCCTAGAGACGTTAGTATCACAAAGATAACAAGGGTTAATGCAGAGATACTGTTTTGGAGAAATGATAGATTATATTATTTGTTCACATTTACTTGGTCACTACCTGCTTTTATAATTTCTTCCTGTAAGTAAAATATATACTTCTCCATTGCATTGACTCTGGGCTTGGTGATAAGCCTGCTTTGGTCCGTGAAACATGAGCAGATGTGACTTTTGCCACATTTCAGTAGAAGCTTTAAATGCACTTGTGTATAGTTAGATTTTGTCCAGACACCCCGTACACTGTCCTCAGGCTACTGTCTCTTCCCTGAGATCAACATGCCGCAGACAGCATCTGTTCCTTCTTCCTTGAAACTAGAGTAAAAGAATATGAAGCCCATGCCCAGCTGTACCACAACAAGCCAAGCTAGGCCCAGAAAGTTCAGCAGACCCCCGTGGAGCTGCAGGCATCCCTGAGCACCCACGGGGTGTAAGCGAGAATGAATGTTTGCTGCTGAAAATCACTGAGATTTGTAAGGCTGTGTGTGGTTACACTGAGCCTGAATAATACAGGTTGGAATATTGTAATAACTCAGCCCAAAGATGATGGTGGCTTGGGCCAGGATGGTAGCAGTGAAGATTTTAGAAGTATTTTGAAGGTAGAGACAACAGGATATGGGGGATATTTTTTGAGAAAGAGGTGAATCAAAGATTATTACAAGTGTTTGGACTTCTTGCTGGACTATGAATTTATGATTGCAAAAATATTCAAATATATTTCAATTTACAAAAATTATTCAATATTAATAAAAGAATTTCAGGCAAAAAATGTATATTTAATTAGGTTATAATTTTGTGGGTGACATATTTGGAAATATCTCTACTTTCAGAATATAGCCTGTTCATGATTGAAGACAATGGGCATCAAATCTTCACGGTATTCAGATCCTAATGAGCACTTTTGAAAGAATGATATGGCAGTTACATATTATATGGTGTATGTTTATAATATGCTTAAAATTACCTACTTCACAGTTAAACTTTCCAACATTTTGCATGCATAAACAATAAAAGCAATTGGAAGCTTAGACTATGTTTTATAAAAGCTTTACAAGATCCCCTTCTGTTGAGCATCTATGTCTAGAAATGAAGACAATTTTAGTTACTTTCTGTAACTCCGAGACAATATTTCCATGCCACAAACACTTGATATTTCATCAGAGTAAATGAGAAAGTTGTGCTATTGTCTTTCTTCTACTTTTGTACTCTGAAATAGTTTATCAGTAATACCTAAGTAAATGGGGCTTCTTGGGAATATTGCCATTTGCTAATAAGAAATATAAAAATGAATTAAGAATCTGTCCTTGTCTCTGTGTTCTTATTCTATGACAAAACTCACTCTGAGACATCATTACTAACGGACTATCATTTTACTCAAGCATGGCATAGAACAAATTCATCAACTTTTAAATACAAATACATAATTCACAAAATTAATGTGGCCGTCACTAGTCCTATTTCTGAAGGAAAGATCACTAAAGTTATATTCCTGAAAGAAAATTTCCCATGTTCCCCCCAAAGTAGGACCTCTGACATAGCACCATTGTGAATTTAATAATGCTTTTCATTTTCATATTCTATACAGGTCTCTTTACTTAGGGCAAAGAAAAGTGGCTGAAAATGTACTCTTATCTTTAGATTTCAGTAAAGAACATTTATTCTTCTAGAAGCATCTGACATAGAGTGAGCCAAGTTCTTATTAAACAATCTCACTTTGTTTTCATTTGAATTAAATGGTTCAATTTGTCAGGTTTTTAGAGAGTGCTTGCCTCCTGGTCACAGTGATCTATGTTAGTGGTTTTCTAGGCTGAACTTCATCCTTTTCCTTGACTCGTAGGTAGTGTGATTGCAATGGTAGCAGAACGTTTCCAGACCCTGACTAAGGGGCTGTGAGAAAACATGCCTCTTTTATTCTGCCCATAATGTCCACGTTGCTAACCACTTCCAACATTGCTTCAATATGTTAATATGTGTATGTATGTGTGTGTGTGCGCGCACGCGCGCGTGTGTGTGTATGTGCACGCATTTGGGTAACTTTCTGTAGAATATCTTCAAAATAATTGTGGATATAGACTAGTTGGTTTATGAAGTTCAGATAGCAAACGACTTCCTCAAAACAAGAGATATCATGCTAACAATGATTTTAAAAGGGAAGAGAATGGAAACATTTTTTTTAAACCACTTCCTAAGTCTCAGTTCCATTGTATGTGCTGTACATACACTCACATGGATAAGGGAGTAACGTGTGATAGCTGTCATGAGCTTGATTTTTCAAACAAGGCAGGCACCTGCATTTTAGAGACATTTATTAGTTCTCAGAACTGCACAGCTTGTAAGTGGTAGTCCTCAGGTGTGAACAAGCCCTGACTGGAACCTCTGCTCTTTTCAATGAGCTGCAGTCTAAAGAGATAGCAGTGCAACACGCATTTCCAAATTCCACAGAAATCAGAGCCACCCAATTGGCTGTTACATCTTTTGCGGGTGAAAAATCTATATGGCAAGCAAAACGTCTTCCCGGGGGACGGTTTCTAGTCTACAGCTCGTGTGTACTTTCTAAGGGTCTAAACGTGAGAGGACATTTTATTCGTTTTAAGTGGTTTAGTTTTGGAGACATGGATAATGAGCGCAGGCGAGACTAGGAAAGGGCTGTCATTGGTGATTTTTCAGAAGGAGCACTGATAGTGCCTTGCCAGCAGTTTGCCCATAGCTCGCAGCAGAAGGCCGACAGAGTCTCTCATAGGTCCACTCCCAGAAGCAATGTGAAAGCCTAGGTGGAAGAATCTGACGGCCAAGGCTGGAGCACCCCCTTTTTGCATTCTGTATGCTATTTTGTGATGCATTTATTTCCCAGCTTGGCTCCATTACACAGCATCCTCACAAATAAAATTCATTTTTGCATTTTGCTTTTTTGAATTAATAAGACCAATTAAAATATCATGATACAGTTCTCCGACTCCTTCCCAGTGAAGTGGGAATTTCAGTGGAATTGCTCTGTAACTGTTGGCCATACCAATATATTCCTCCTTTGTCCTTTTTCTTTTCTATTTAATATATTAAATTCAAGCCACTGCTATTTTCTTTCTTTTTTTTTTTTTAAGATTTTATTTTTTCCTTTTTCTCCCCAAAGACCCCCGGTACATAGTTGTGTATTCTTCGTTGTGGGTTCCTCTAGTTGTGGCATGTGGGACGCTGCCTCAGCGTGGTCTGACGAGCAGTGCCATGTCCGCGCCCAGGATTCGAACCGACGAAACACTGGGCCGCCTGCAGCGGAGCGCGCGAACTTAACCACTCGGCCACGGGGCCAGCCCCAATCCACTGCTATTTTCAAGGACATTTAATTTTCCCCAAACATCCTGAGATGATTATCACTCTTATTCTATTCAAAAGTAAGATTACTTTTACTCCTTGTGTGTTGACCATTCCAACTTGACAACTTAGAATCAAGATAAAACTTTGAATGAAAAAGAAGATCCTTTGCTCCACTAATGATTTTAAAGGTAAAGGATTACAAGCAGTATTTCAAATCCCTTTATCTGTTTTTCTGTAAGTGTGGACTAGCTGTGAGGTTTTGCAGTTTTTGATTTTTACTTTCATAATTTTTTTTTATGCTTGGCTTGCTGGCATTTTCCATTGTTAAAAAAGTGTGGATATGAGAATGAAATGATATTCAGAATCATATTTTTAATTATGCTATCTCTATAACTCAAATGAAATAAAATATTTATTATCTGGTCCCTCATTTCCCCAATGGTTTAATGGTTTCTATGGAATACTTGTCTTCTGGATGAGTTAAAATATAACAGATATCCCGAAGGTTAATGCTTGTAAAAGTGGTAAATTAAGTTAAATGAACTTCTTTACTGAACAATTATCAGAAGTTTTTAATGTGCTGTGAATTTCTTCTAGATCACCTCTCACTATGATCGAGCCCACAATTTGAGAAACACTTATTTTCAGATCGATCTATATCAGGCAATTCGGATAATACATCTTATAAAAAGAATTAGTTGGCTTTAATATTTGTGAAATAGAAATAAATCTTTTTAACTTAAATTTCATTTATTAATTTACTATCCATTCATTCTGTGTACTTTGAGGACCTACACATAGTCTGCACGTATAGATACTGAGACATATAAAGGTGAATTAGACTGAGTCCCTGCCAAAAGGCACACATGACCATGATGAAGCATTGTGCATGTGCCAAAGAACATGGAATGATGAAATATCTCCTACCAAAGACTGCATCTAAGTTGTCTTTTAATAAATTAATAGTAGTTTGTTAGGTTTAGAACATGTTGAGGAAAAATATCTAGGAATAGAAAACGTTACGAGGAAAGAGAGAGAGGGAAATGTCCATAATCATCATCTATTTCAGAGAATTTATGGAAGAATGGCTGGCTTTTTCTTGGATGTTTTGACATCTTAAGATGGCTTATAGTAGAGGGTTAAAGGCTGTAAGATATCTATGTTGTCTTCTAAATCATCTGGAAAATAGTTGAAGGTTTTTTTAAAAATCATTTTTCTTGGATGCAGCAAGGAATGCTTAGGAGTGAAGCATCCTACTTGTTCCTTTGCTGAGAATCAGCAAGTGCAAGATATTTGAGCCTTGTGTTTGTGGATTTTTTCCCCTCCCGTATTGCATTGCCAAGAAGCTATTCCTCTCTTCCAGTATAATGAAGTTCCATAAGTGGAAACCTTCCATCTTTTTTATAAGCGGGTAGAAAGAGAAAGTCTGGAAATGAAAACAAGGGGGGAGATTGTAATGCTTCATTAGCAGTTTGCTGTGGCAAGGAAGTGTATAGATGCTAGCGGGGAACACAAAGGCAAGCATGAGAGACATTATAGAAGTTTTCTTGATAATTTTCTGATTATCCATTTATGTCTTTAAGACTTTAGAGACCCTCTACTGAGAAAAAAAAGCACATTCAGCACAGGTAAAATGCACTCACTTTCAGAGTGCTCCTGGGTCTCCTGAAGGCCTTTCAAACTTAGGGGTTCCTTGGATCTCAGGTTAAAAACCCCTGATGTAGAAGAAGAGGACGAAAAAAGAAAAGTATATAAGATGTTATAAGGGGGGAAAAAGCAGTAAAAACATTCTGGGTAAGTGCAAAGAGAAGGAAACTTCTACTTGAAAGTTGCTCTGCTTCTGTGAATTTTTGAGTCCCCGATGCACTGCTTAGACAGCGTTCAGATATTGCTGCTCCAAAGGCTGTAATGGGGTTGGTGACCATAAATGACCGAAGAAAGTTAATGTCAGTATCCAGAAGCAGAGATTCCTTTGAGGATGGGAGGAGGTTTAGGAAATGCCTGGTGAGCACAGTCTCTCTAGTTTTGGATAAAATCACAAGAATTGGAGATGAGCTCCTGCATCCTCTGGGCCCTTGTCTTGAGACACCAAGCTTAAAGTGGACACGGCATGTGTCAGGGCTTGTGTTGGTGGTCTATTTTCTTCAGGGTGCGTGGTTCCTCTTCTGTTTGGGGAATGAGTCTATCACCTGATCGCCAGCGTGGGGTTGCTGTGAAGGAGGCTGTGCCCTGGCTGCAGATTCTCCATGAGGGGAATCTCCGTGGGGCCTCAGCTCTCACCAGCATGTGGGCTGGGTTTCCCGAGCGAGCTTCCTGAGAGTGGCTTATCCTCAGAAGTCCCATAACATCATTTCCACTCTATTCTATTGATTGAAATAGACACGCGCCTGCCTGGATTCAAGAGGAAGGAACTTAAACCTCACATCTTTACGGGCTGTGTCCAAAAATTTGTGGCCAGCTTTTAAAACCACCATGAATTGGATACCAGAATTGATTTATCCATTCTATTGTAGATGGATATTTGAGTAGTTTCTACTTTGGAGGAATGACGGAGAATAGTGCTGTAATCATTCTTGCTCCTTTCTCTAGGTTCAGGCATGTTTGCATCTGAGTTGAGTTTATATCTAAGAGTGGAATTGCTGGTCACCTTGTATGTGTATCTCCAGCTCTAATAGATAGATCCCGCCAAGAGTTTTCCAAAGTGGTTGTATGAATTCATACTCCTACCAGCAATGTATAAAAGCCTTCCAGTTGCTCTGCAGCCTCCCTCCACTTGCTGCCGTCAGCTCAGCATTTAAAAACTGTTTTTAACCGTTGCTGGTTGTGTAGAAGATCTCAGTGTGGTTGAATTGTCATTTCCCTGATAAGCTGTGCTTTGAGCACCTTTGCCTTAGCCATTGGGACACTCTGTGTTGTGAAGTGCCTGTTCAAGTCTTTTGCCTATTTTGAACCAGTTGGGCTGTCTGTCTTTTTTCTTATTGTAATACTGAACCTTTCATATATCCTGAATATGAAGCCTTCATTGAATATTGGAATTGGAACAATCTCTTCCTGTCCTGTGGCTTGTCATTTCCCTTGTAATGTGTTTTTTTGACAAACTGAAATTTTAAGTTTTAATGAATTCCAGTTTACCGTTCTTTTCTGTTTGGGAGAGTGTTTTTGTGTGTATGTGTGTCTTCTTTAAGAAGTTTTTGCTGCCCTGTGGTCATGAAGATGTTTTCTTATGTTATCTTCTGGAAGCTTTACTATTCTACCTGTCACATTTTGGTCTAAGTGTCCAGGAATTGATTTTGATGTGTTGTGCGGTAGGGGTCAAGGTTTCCTTTTTCACCCATATGCTTATCTCTACGGGTAATAACAGGTAGCACTGGGTCAGGTGGACGCAAGCCTGGGAGTTAGGGGTCCTCAGGCTTAACCTACCTTTAAAGCACCCTCTGAACTTGGGCATGTTATCTTCCCAGTTATCCCTCCTCTCAGACTCCTTCCTTCCTTCCTACTTTTCTTCTTTCCTTCCTTCCATCTATCCATCCAACCATCTGTCCAAATGTTGATCTGTCCAACCATCCTGCATGTTCACTTGATGGTCCTACTGTCCTTCCATCCTCTTTCCTCCCATCTCTCCAACTTCTCCTCCCTGTCTTTATTCTTCTTGCTTTCCCTTTGACCCACCATTTGCCCATTCTTCCTCTGTCTATCCAGGTATCCCCTCTGTCTGTCCATCCATCTACCTGTCCTCTTTGTTCAGTCTCTCTCTTGTTCACCACACTGCTTCTTTTGGGTTCATCTCATTCACAGGCTTGCCCATCCCCCTACTCGCACAATCACTCCTTCCTTCACTCTCATTTATAGTTCACCTGTGAAATTAACAGACTATTATAACACAAGGTGGGATGTTCTGAGGTGAGGCATCTGGCATAATTTGGAGGGGAAGGGCTTTCTGGAGAAAGCTTACCCAGTTAGGCTCTTTAAGAATGAGTAGGAGCTATTTAGGAAAATAGGGTATGGAGTGTATTCCTGGCAGAGGGAATTCCATGAGCAAAGGCCCAGTAGACACAAACACCATAGTGTGGGGGGAGAATTGATAGGAATTTGGTTTGCCTGAAGCACAAAGCCTAACTCAGAGTGAATGGATCAATGACGCTGAAGAGTCAGCAGGAGCCAGATTTGGAAGAGCCTTGAGTGCCAGGTCAAGAAGCTTGAACTTAACACTGAAGGCATTAGGGAGCCATGGGTGATACTAGAGTAGGAGTGCTCCTAATGAGATTTTCATTTCAGAAAAATTTTTCTAATGTTCAGTGCAGAGAACACCCTTTAGATAGGGCATTCAGTAAGCATGTTAGGGTGTTGGTTCAGGTGAGAAAAGATAAGACCTGAGCTGGGACATGGATGGAGAGAAGGACTGTATTGAGGACCATTCTGCAAGTGGAATTGGTGTTACTGGGAGGTGAGAGAGGAGGAGCAGAGCAGATATGCTCTTTTCAACTTGGATGACCACATTAGTGGGTGGTGGTGCCACTGGGAGAGAAGTCATCACATTATAATGAATGCAGGACTCTGACCTGGTCGCCGACCAGCTCTCGGTGATGGCCATCTCTCCTCCTCTCTTCTTGCAGCCGTGGGGCACAACCTGAAGACCTTCACACTCAACTTCACCATTTCCACTCTCCAGTATTCAACAGACATGAGCAAGGTCTCAGTCACATTCAACTCCAACGAGAAAGTCCAGTAGCACCTGAAGAGACCGGTCCCAACAGCTCCTGGTGGAATGAGTCCCAGCCAGCTGCTCCCCACACTCTGTTCCTCCTGCTTGTCCTCCTCCTCCTTCCTCCCCAGCTTGGATCCTTGTTCAAGAAGAGCAGCCTGGGCCACTTTGGGTTGCAGACTCATCTCTCTCAGGTTAGACCCTTTTCTGAGCATTTGCCAGTCATGACTACTATCGGTGACTGCCCCATTTTCAGTCTTCCCACTGACTGCCAATTTATTCCTCCCTCCTCCTGGCCCCCATTATCAGAGGATTCAGGACGTCTCTCTAGAGTTACACATCCATCTCTCCCTGGGCCTGAGAAAGATGGGGCAGCCACCAGTGTGGATGCTGTCTGTACCTACCACCCTGACCCTGTGGCTCATGGCAGAGAGTGTGACAGAGATCCCATGTGACAGAGAGCAGCAATACTGGGACCTGAACCAGCTGATGCACCGTGTCACCCAGAGGGGCCTCTACTCCCTGGTCAGGGACAGCCTCTTTGTCAGTGGTGAGTGTTTATGCTGAGTTTGGATTGACAGTGATCATTACTTATACCTGTTCTATTTTATTTCCTCTCTAACAAGTCAGCCCAGGTTCTGGTTGAGGGACACCCTCCTCAAATCTCCACAGGGAGGGTTTCTCCTGTTATTTCAGATATGATTCACATACTGCGTGTTTGCTTTTCTTTCTTAGGGTTTTCTATATGCAATATCAAGTCATCTGCAAAAGGAAATAGTTTTACATCTTCCTTTCCACCTGGATGCCTTTTATTTCTTTTTCTTGCCTAAGTACCCTCATGAGAACCTCTAGTTCAATGTGATAAATATATGCGATGAGGGCAGACATCCTTGTCTTGTCCCTGGTCTTTGGGGAAAATTTTCAGACTTTCACCATCGAGTGTGATGTTAGCTGTGAGTTTTCCAAGGATGCTATTTATTAGATTGATAAAGTTCCCTTCTGTTCCTAATGTGTTGGGTGATTTTTTTTAATCATAAAGGATGTTGTATTTTGTGAAATTCTCTTTTGTATATGTGTATCAAGATCAGGTGGTATTTTTCCTTTATTCTATTAGTATGGTGAATTACATTAATCCGCTTTTCAGATATGAAACCAACCTTTCAGCTAGAGGTGAGAGGCTGACCCTTCTCCAGTCTTTCCTGGGCATGCACACTACCCTGCGCACTTGTGGCCTCCTAGATCCTCACAAATACATTGGAGCTTTTCAAAACCCTCAAAGACATCTCATTCTCCAAATTTTTATTTTATTTTCAGTTTTTGACTCACCTCTCAACTGCCTCAACTGGTATGGCTCACCCAGGCAGCTGCAATGTAAAACAATTACTGTTGATTGTTCTGGCAAGTACCCTAGGGAAAGACTTTCCTCACTGAGTAAGCTCTGAGTTAAATCAAGACAAGCCCTGACAAATGGGACATTTTCAAGAAGCTACCAGGAAGGTCAGATGGTGACAATTCAGTGGAGATGGGTCTTTTGGGAACTCCAAAGCCATTATGGCTGCTAGGCTGCTGGTTTTCACAGATGCCATGGTTCTGAGACTGGTGGTTTTCAAAGTTGCTGAGGGTATTGTGAGAGCAGGATGGGACTCCTGAAAAAATTTATTTTGACTGTTTTTACCAGTGTTCTCATTGTTTGTATGGATTTTCAGAAGTCCTTACTCCAGCATTTCAGAAATGTTCTCCCTGTGGCTATTATGTATAAATTAATTATGTTAAATTAAATGACATGAGAGATTTAGCTCCTCATTCACACACATTAGCCACATTTTTTTTTTTCTAAAGATTGGCACCTGGACTAACAACTGTTGCCAATCTTTTTTTTTTTTTTTTTCTGCCTTTATCTCCCCAAAACCACCCCCTGTACACAGTTGTATGTCTTAGTTTCAGGTCCTTCTAGTTGTGGGATGTGGGATGCCGCCTCAACGTGGCCTAACAAGCGGTGCCATGTCCGCGCCCAGGATCTGAACCCTGGGCCGCTGCGGTGGAGCGCCCGAACTTAACCACTCGGCCACGGAGCCAGCCCCTTTTAGCCACATTTTAAGTGCTCAAAAACCACATTGGGCTAATAATGACTTTATTGGATAGTGCAGAAACAAATGTTTACATTCTTGCAGAAAGTTCTCTTGAACAGGCTCCAGAAGTAGGGCATCTAGAACCAGGGTAGACTTCCAGACACCCTTGTTCATCCCTTGTGCCCTTCCAGGTCTGTCCCCTGCAATAACCACACTAGGGTGGCCTCCCCGTGTAATTTCTCACCATCAGCACAGAGGCTACATAGAGTTGCCATCTGTGAGGAATTCCTGCAGCTGACCCAGAATGGTACCCAGCATAGCTTTGCCCTGGACAAGAACAGTGTCCCTGTGGATGGTAAAGCTCCCTGGTCAATGGGGTGGAGTGGGGTTTCCAATTTCCACATCTGGGGTCTTTCCTGGGAATCTGGAGGCCTGGGGATGGGACAGAATTCAACTTTCTCAGGCTGGCAGGAGGTGGCATAGTCCCCCAAACTGTTGCCCATCATTGAGGGAGAGAAAAGGACTCCCAGTGGGATATAGCAGGCACTTGCCTTCTCCCAGAGAGCTCTGTGATCTCAGGCCAGTCGCCTCCCCTCTCTGGACACCTGCTTCATTATCTCTGCATTGAAAGCGCTTGGCCAGATGGTCAGTGAGGACCTCCAGCTGTGTGTGAACCCACGTTGGCAGGTGTGGTGGGATGGGCCTGTTTTCTGATCCACAGGCTGTATAAAAATAGGAATGGGTCTGACTTGACCCACAGGCTGTAGTTTGCCAAGTCATGCTCTAGATCAGCACGATGCACTAGAACTTCCTGTAATGATGGAAATGTTCTATATCTGAGCTATCCAGTGCATACACACATGTGGCTATAGAATACTTGAAGGATGGAATTGTGACTGGTTTTTATGGTTACTGATTTTTAATGTTACTGAGGTACCAGATCTTTAATATTATTTCATTAAAATTAATTTTAATTTAAAAAGGCACTCGCTGTTCCATATTGGACAACACATCTCTATGCAGTTGCCTGGAGAGAGGTTGCAAAAGTAGGGGGACCTACAACCCTCCCTTGGTACACAGTGAGTGCTCTGTGTCCCTACCCCTTGGAGTTGATGGTGTAGTTGGCAGTAACAAGAACAGGCAATTAAAAATTATAAATTATTTGATGCAAACCAGTCCATACTTGGGAGTGTTAATCAGAAAAGGCTTCCTGAAGGAAATTCCATTGTAGGTGAATCCTGTAATATGAATATAAAACAACTTGGTAAAGGAGAGGGGGATAAGTGTGTTTCCAGGCTGAGAAGAAATTGTTTGGGAATTTACAAATTTAGAGAGAGCTCATTGGCTTGCCAACTGGTGACCCATGCTCTCCCCACCATCATAAGATGGTCCGGCCCAATTTCAGTCCTCTGTGTCCAGAGGTATAAATTTGATTTAATTTGTTACACTATTGTAGTGTGATAGTGGCCTTGGATTATGTAGCAAAGCATCCTAATTATTCAGAGATGCAAACTGAAATGAGGTGAAACATCAGAATGTCTACTCAACTTTAATATTTCAGTGAGGGGCCATCCCCATGGCCAAGTGGTTAAGTTTGTGCATAGCAGCCCAGGGTTCACTGGTTCAGATCCTGGGCACAGACCTACACACCACTCATCAAGCCATGCTGTGGCAGCCTCCCCCCTAGAAGAGCTAGAATGACCTACAACTAAGATAAACAAGTATGTACTAGGGCTTTGGGGAGAAAAAAATATTTCAGTGAAAATATGGGAGAAAGCAGGGATGGCAAGTGTGAGTAATTTACACATTGGATTAAACATTGTTTTAACTGAAGTTTACATTGTTAAATCTAGGGGATGGATGTTTCCAATATTGTTCTACTTTTCTGTGTGTTTGAAAAGCTTTATTTAAAAAAGTAAAACATACGTGTATTTTCCACTTTATTCACTTCCAGGGTACTCCCCCAACAGAAATGGTGCCCTGACTGAGAATTCTGGTAAGCCTCAAGGAAGCCCCAGCCTGCGCTTGGGAGGGAATATCTCGATGCTCTGCCCCATCAAAGATAACCACGCACACAGGGTCTTAGGTGATGATGAAAACTGGCCAACCCATGTCAAGGTGTGTTGAGCACAGTGGGGGGACAGCAGGAACCCTGGGGGAATGACAGGAGGTGGCTCAGCCCAGCACTTGTCTCCCCAGACCTCCCCTTCTGGGCGATCATCCTCATCTGCTTGGTGGGGCTCATGGTGCCCATCACATGCCTGATCTGCTGTCTCCTGGTAAGCAAGGAAGTGCCACTTGTTTTCTTTCTATTGGGTTGTAAGAGCTCTTTAGATATTATAAATATGTGTGCTTTGCTAGGGATATGTTTTGCAAAAATTGTCTCCTATTGGCCACTTGGTGTTCATTTAGAGCTTTAGAGCTTGAATCAGTAGTGACATTATCATCTGCCCAACTCTGAGTGACTCACTCCCCTGTCCCAGACATTTCCATCAACCCAAAGGATCGTGTTCAAAAATAAATAATTCAGAAACATATTAACCCACCACAAATTCTTGATGACCAATTTTTACTCAAACACTCGTACAATAGATACCGGTTCCTCAAGATCAGAAGTGATGCCACATCACCATGTCCTCAGCTTAATTT